CGAAACCAGATCTTAAGCATCGGTTTATCCGTGATTTGAAGAGGGTCCCCCACAAGGATCGCTTTAAGCGCGTCCTGGCAGCTAAGTTTGGGAGGCATCACTATTGGTCCAGGAGGGAGTTTCAGAAGCTGAATTGCTATGAGCACTTCCTCACTATTGCCACCAACCGCGCATGGTGTCGACTGTTGTCTGTGCGGGAGAAAGTCTACCACGAGCTGGTGCTAGAGTTCTACACGACCTTTAAGCACGAAGAGACCACCGACTGGGCTGACAGCGAGGCCGTCAAGTTCAGGCTAGGCGGTGAACCTCGCTCCATGAGCTACCACGACCTGGCTGTCACTCTCGACCTCGACATGAACGATGATGAGGATTATGTCACCGAGCTCAGTAATCCAGCCGGTGTATCCTTTAAGTCTTTGTACACCCGGCTATCTCAGCATGGTCATGACCCCTTCAATGCGGGGCGGACGAAGGCTAGCACCTTGCAGCTCGAGAATTGCATACTCCACCACTTGCTCGCGAAGTCCTTCACTCCAGTTGGGGAAAGTGCCAGCACGCTGACCAGGCGGTCCAAGTACTTCATCCACTCAATCTGCACTGCGGACCATGATCTCCACCTGGGTTTTGTGGTGGTGAGGACTCTGGACAAGAGTGCTACTACTCTGGGGACCCTCCACTGCACCCCACTCAACACCCGCCAGGCTGCCAATTTCCAGATCCCCTATCAGGATTGCACAGAGCAGGGGGGACACTTGGGTTTTCAGAGAAGACACGATCTCGAAGATGCACCTGTTGCGAGTCAAGCGCGACGTCAAGTGGATTGAGGGTTTTTCTGCTCCACCACTCCCTGCGGAGGATCAGCCCGCAGTTCTTGAGAATGCTGCCACCGAGGATGTCCACCCCGATGATGTGGACTCTGCTGCCGCCCACACCGCCCCTTACCAGACCACCTATGAGCATGGGGGTGGTAGCTCCACATTTCCATCCCAGGACTACTTCACTCACCAGTTCCATCAACTGAATCTCCAGAATCGACAGCTCCTTGAGGATCATCTCCAGTTCCAGCAGCAGTACTTAGCTCACCAAACCGAGTATAATACCCAGATGACTGCATATGATGAGCGCCTCGACCGCATAGAGGCCCAACATGGGGTGACCCTTGCTCACATTGAGAGGGAGCATGGTCGGGCTCGTCGTATGCAGGAGGTCTAGCAGCACCTGCTCCACATGATACCGGGCGAGCAGCCAGTCTGGAGGACTCCCTGGGAGGACTCCCCACTCCCACCCCCGCCAGCAGTGACGATGCTTTCATGGACGACATTGACAACCTTGGCGATGAGTAGTCTGTACTCGTCGCCCCTTCGAGTGTGTTTTTGTTTTGGATTTTTCTTGTTTGCTCCATGTGTGTGAGGAGCTTGAACTGAGTCTTTTGTGTGTTTTTTCTTTTCTTTTGTGGATTGTCTGTTTTGTGCCCATCCGGGCTGACTCTGATCCCTAACACGGTGTGCTAGTGTTTTCTTTATGCTCCCTTCATGCAGAATTGTTCCGTCGTTCCGTCTGTCCCCCACCGACTGGTGTATTTCCAGTCCCCCGACAGTCTTTCATCCCGGTAACATCGTTCCCCTTATCCTTCCCTCTGCTCCATTGAGGGCAATGTCGAACTTAAGTGTGGGGGGTGCTTTGTATTTGTTGGAACGTATATATGTGTGCTTGGAGCCTAGTCCGCTGTCCAAATCTCGAGATTTAAGGACTCCAAGTACTGATGTTTGCATGATCATATTGGCATTGTGGGTTTGATTGGTGAATCGAATGGCTTTCGAATTGATGCATGACAACTGGATTGTGACTAGAACAACCTATAATGATGACTGAGACTTGTAGTAGAGTTGTGTAGGGGTTTAGTTTTTCAATTGTTTGCTTACCAACTGTGACTTGGATTGATCACTTGTTCTTGGCAGCCGTTTATGCATCTAGTTCAGGGAATCAGAATGAGAGATAGAGCATATAGGTAGCCATGTGAGATTTGAGCCTGCTCGTTTCTTTCTTGTGCGATAGATCCCTCTTCCATGATGTGTAGCATTCACGTTGTCATTAGCTAAGATGATGGAGGCATAGGAATAGCCCATGACCAAATTGTCTGTTCTGGTGTGTCATACTCCCTAGTCAGCCCCTTAGAGCCGTGTCACTTTCATTCTTTCGGTCTACAATGAAAAATCACCCGTTTGCATCTCTTAGAAGGTTCCACAGAGTGGTTTTTGCATGTTCTCTGCTGTTTCTGCCAGAAATAATGTGAGGGTTGGAGGTAGTGCTTAAAAGTTGGGCATGAAAAAAAAAGATGAATGAAAGCAAAAGAGAGCCACTACCAAAACTCTGAATCATGCTCATTAAGTAGTGTTTCTTATCAGTCTGGCTTAAAAATACTAACATTATTGTGACCTCCTTCGCTCTTATGCTCTAAAGAATTTGAGTAATGCAGAATGACAGAAAGAAAGTAAGTGGTATGATTGGCTGTGATTGTCTTGGGTTTGGAACTGTGGAACCTTGTGCTATGAAAATACAGTTGTGTACAATTTACATTGCAAAAAAATATAATCATTATATTTTTTTACGGTTCTAATTTTCTAATGAAATGCGGCCCAGTGCTCTTCTGTGTTCTGGATCGCCCGCTGAATCACTAATCATTATTTGATCCAACACAACTCTTTCTTTAGTTCTACTTTGTAATTCACCGGCAAAACTGCTATATGCATAGTCATACATCTCTCAAAAACAAATGGTATCTTAGTCAACAACATCAGCATAACAAGAAAATTTTAGTCCCTCTATTGCTTGATGTAGAGGGGTTTATTGATATAACAACAATTTTGGTGGCTGATTAGACTAGTTGCCTAAACACTAGTGACTGGGCCTGGATTTAGCTAAAGGCTTCCTTGTTCCAAGACCAAGAGAGAATTAGGGAGGCCAATGATTTTTGGCTCATTAATTAGCTAAAGGCTAAAGGCTTGACTTGTTAATGAGCTCACCAGCTCTATTCGAGTTTGGCTCATTAATTAGCCTGTGATATAGCTTCTAGCTCAGGTATCATATCATTTAGTTTATAAATTTTAATTTTTTCTTTGATGTTACATAATTTCATTTTAAAATATAAACGAGACATGCCAAAGGTAACATAGTCTAGTGGTGAAACCACTGGACTAATTGAGCTTTAGATGTGGGAGGTCCAGAGTTCGATTTCCAGTGGCGTCACTTAAGCGTTCCCGGTGACACCCTTGGTATCGGAGGCGAAGCCTCCCCAATGTTGGTAGCAGAAAGCCTCGGTTAGTATCAGGTACCCCCTATCAATGTAGTCAAAAGTGAGTTTCTACGTAGAAACGTATTGGTGATCTATAAGCGTAAAATCGTATGTTTTTAAGTTTTAAAGCGAAGTTTTTAACTACAGAAGTTATAAAAACTGAGATTTTGTGTAGAAGCGTTTTAGTGACTTAAAAACGTAAAATCGTAAGTTTTTAAGTTTTAAAGCGAGATTTTAACTACATTGCCCCCAGTGGTTTAGTAGTGTACTTGGGCACCGGGCCATTCCGCCCATGGGCTAGCACGGCACGACACGGTTAGAGCACGACACGAACACGGGCACGAAATAAATGGGCCAGCCCGGCACGAGCACGAATAATTTATGGGCCGTGTCGGGCCTAAACTTCATGGGCAGGGGCATGGCACGGTATATAAGTGGGCAGTGTCGGGCCTAATATTTTCGAGACTTTATTGAGTATAAGAACGGACATGTCACGAAAATAATATTTATTTGATAGAAAATAAATATAAAAGAATTATAGGTTCAAATATTACAAAACACAAGTAGAAAACTAATTATTTGTTGTTGTTAGAAATGTTATAAAGATATATACGTAATTACTAACATAAGTAAAAATGGACAAAGAATTAAACAAAGCTAAATCACACTCGCTATACTTCCAATTTTCTTTTCCCCCTTATTTGTTACTTTTCTCAAACATTATCGGTTAATACTATCTTCCCCCGTCCAATTTTCACCTTCTTCCTCATTCTCTCTTTTGTTTTCGTCTTTTTCATTAAACACGAATATGAGCATGACACGAACACGAATAGGCACGATACGATTCGAACCGTGTCCGGGCCTAGGCCGGGCCTAGCAAAGTTAACAAATAGGCTTGCATGGCACGACACGAAACTGACGGGCCGTGCCAAGCACGACACGAAATAAATGGGCCCGAAGCGTGCCCGTGCCGTGTCGGCCCAAACACGGCCCAACGCCCATGTACATTTAATAGGCCCCGCTGTCGCTCAAACGACACGTAAGGCTGAGGTTCCCTTGGTTATCAAATAAAAAAGATATAAACGAGACATATTCGGTCATCTCTTAGTACTCTTAAACATTATATATGCCAATACAAAAAATCCAACAAATGTATGAATTATCAAACAAGCCAACTAATGAGTTATTAATCAATTTGCAATTAAGTTGCTAGTAGAGGAGGCTCTCAGCTAAATTACGAGTTAGCTTAACAAGCCACCAAGTCGAGTTACCTTGCGAGCCTTACAAGCCGGACAAACGCAGTTTAAGCTTAACTCATTAGTAAACGAGCCCAGTACCACCTTGAGGGTTTCGAGTTTGAGATATGACAAGGTCCCAGGTTTGATCCCAGTACCACCTTCTTGGTGTTCCCAGAGACACCCTTGGTATAGGAGACGAAGTCTTCCCGATAATGGTAGCACAACGCCGGGCACTGCGCCGGGACAATGTCCTTGATGGTTAGTATGCATGTACTCACAGGTTTAGTAGGCTCCGCTGTCACTTATGTGACATGTGGGTTGTTGATGTTCCTGGATTATCAAATAAAAAAATTAGTAAATGAGCCGAGTCTCTCGAACCAGATTTTTCCGAACATCCGCTTAGCTCAAGAGAAACGAAACGTTAAGAAAAGAATGTAATACGGTGGGTTCAAGGAATCGAATAACTGCAAACCCAAAAGATCTGTATCCTTCTTTTCTGATTTCTGAACTTCTTCCAATTCCCCCAAAAAAATCTAACCCCTAACCCAGCCGCCGCCTCACATCTATCGTACGGCCAGAGGTCCGGCGACACCCCCCGAAACCGAACATGGAAGCCGCCGGCGGGAATCTCGATCTCAACGACACCGCCAATTCCGCTCTCGTCGATTCCTTCTACGAGATCACCTCCTCCATGTCACACCCTAGGGATCTGGATTCGCTTGGCAATGGAGAATTGAGAAGGAGATGAGAGGATTGGGACGAGATCAGAGGAAGAAGACGGAAGAGTAGAGAGAATAGAGAGAGAGAAGAGAGAGAAGGGAAAGTAGATTTGTTGTTATTAGCCAAAAAGTAGTTACAACGGTCTTGGCGCCCCCCTATTATACAACTTGACTAATTTCCTGTTCACTCTCTTACTTCCAACTATTTACACTTTAGCCCCATTCGTTACAACTCCCCACCTCTTCACACGAAGCTTGTCCTCAAGCTTCAAAATCTGGAAATCGAGCATGAAAATCTGTCCATGTCTCCCATGTGGCATCCTCCTCTGACTGATGAGACCACTGAACCAGGACTTGCGTTAATGGCTTATTTCCTTGAGCTATCACTCGACGAGCTAGAATAGCCATGGGAGTCAGCTTAGGCACCCCCTGCTCATCCACTGTAGGCAGAAAAGGCTGGACCTGCAGAGTATCATTCACTCAAGCTTTCTTCAACAGAGACACATGGAACACTGGATGTATGGACGCACCAGCTGGTAGTTGTAACTTGTAAGCAACAGCGCCTATCTTCTGCACAATGGGAAAAGGCCCAAAGAACTTGGGAGCCAGCTTCTGGTTAGCCCTGCTCGCAACTGACGACTGACGATAGGGCCTCAATTTGAGGTAGACCAGATCGCCTACTTGCAGAGTTCGTTCAGTCCTATGAGCGTCGGCCATTTGTTTTTGTTTATTCTGTGCTTTGGCCAAGTTACTCCGCAAGATGTCAACCAATCGATGTTGCTGCTGTAATCGGTCCGCCACTGCTGCCACAGAAGTAGAAAGAGGGTTCTGGATGGAAAAGTGAGAAGGAGCATACCCATAGAGAGCTTCAAAAGGAGAAACCTGCAGACTGCTGTGGAAGTTGGTGTTGTACCACCATTCAGCAAGAGTCAACCAAGCAGCCCACTTCTGAGGGCACAAATGGACCATTCCTCTCAAGTACTCTTCCAAACAGCGATTGAGCCTCTCTGTCTGTCCATCTGTTTGAGGGTGGTAGGCAGTAGAATAATGCAGATTCACACCTTGTAACTCAAAAAGCTTGGACCAAAATGAACTTGTAAATATAGCATCCCTGTCAGATACTATTGTAGCAGGCATTCCATGAAGTTTGAACACCCCATCAAAGAATATTTGGGCGATTGTCACTGCTGTATATGGTTTAGATAGGCCAAAGAAATGACCATACTTAGAAAATCGATCCACCACCACCAGGACTGCTTCCTTACCATTTGAATTGGGCAACCCTTCTACCAAATCCATAGAAATGTGCTTCCACGCTTGATCAGGGATAGGTAGGGGCTGTAGAAGTCCAGGATATGGAATGTTCTCAATTTTGCACCTCTGGCAAACTTCACAATGGCTAATGTATGACTTCAGATCGGATTTGACTCCAGGCCACCAGAAATACCTTCTCAACCTCTGATAACTAGCTTGCAGCCCAGAGTGACCCCCTACTGGTGAGTCATGGAACAACTGTAGCAACTGATTCCTCATGTTCCCAGTGCTGCCCACATAGATAGCTGCCTTATGGTACAGCAACCCCTGACAGAATGAGTACAACTTGGGTCCAATAAAAGGAACTGAAGCCTCTGTAATTAACTGCCGAACCACCTGATCCTCTGCATAAGTAGACTCCAACTCACCCAACCACGCTGGTAACACAGCTGTCACAGTGCAGCAGCTTCCCACACTTGTAATAGAGTTAACAAAACTTGGATGTCGAGACAGTGCATCTGCTACTTGATTAAATTTTCCTTGACGATACTGTATTTCAAAATCAAGGCCCAATAGTTTCACCAATCCCTTCTTCTGGATTTGTGTATGAATCTTCTGCCCAAGGAGGTGCTTTAAACTTTCATGGTCTGTAACGATCTTAAACTGCCTCCCTTCCAAGTAGTGACGCCATTTTGTCACTGCCAAGATCACGGCCAGGTACTCTTTCTCGTAAGTAGAAAGTCCTTGTTTCCTAGGCCCTAAAGCTTGGCTGTGGTAAGCCAAGGGCCTCCCTTCTTGTGATAACACAGCCCCGATGCCCAACTCACTAGCATCTGTCTCGAGCACAAACTGCTTACTGAAGTCTGGTAGAGCCAAAACAGGAGAAGATACCATAGCCTCTTTGAGTGCATTGAAAGCCATTTGAGCTGTATCAGACCATACAAAACTGTCTTTCTTCAGTAAATCAGTGAGAGGTTTCCCAATCACCCCATAATTCTTGACGAACTTCCTATAATAATCAGTAAGGCCAAGGAACCCACGCAATTCTTTCACATTTCTTGGCACTGGCCACTTAACCATTGCTTCAATCTTAGCTGGATCTGTGGTCACGCCATCCTGATTGATTATATAGCCCAGGTAATCAATCTGGGTTTGGCCAAAGGCGCACTTTGAAGGCTTAGCATAGAGAGAATTTTCCCTTAAGATCTTCAGGGCTGCGGCCAGATGCTGCTTGTGGCTGTTCTGGTCAGGACAGTAAATCAGAATATCGTCGAAAAATACCAGAATAAACTTCCTCAGGTAGGGACTGAATATCTTGTTCATTAGTGCTTGGAAAGTTGCAGGAGCATTGGTGAGGCCAAAAGGCATCACTGTGAATTCATACAGGCCCTGATGTGTCCTGAAAGCCGTCTTGTGCTGGTCATGTGGACTCATCCTAATCTGATGATAGCCTGACAAGAGGTCGAGCTTGGTAAAGTATTTGGAGCCCCTGAGTTCATCCAAAAGATCGTCAATCACGGGTATTGGAAACTTGTCTTTGATGGTAAGATCATTGAGCTTCCTGTAGTCCACACAAAAGCGCCACGATCCATCCTTCTTAAGAACCAACAACACTGGAGAAGCGTAGGGACTTTTGCTGTGCTGAATGTATTGAGATTCCAACATTTCCTTGACCAACCTGTCCATCTCATTCTTCTGTGGAATGGAATACCTATAGGGCCGAAGATTAACTGGTTGGGCATTAGGCATTAAAGGGATCGTGTGATCACACTCCCTCGAGGGAGGTAAGGACTGTGGTTTCCCAAACACATCATTGAAGTCCTGAAGAACGGGTGCCAAGAACTCTGGAACATTATGGCTGACCAAATTCGATGCCCCATCTATATGACAAAACAGATCCACTGCTTCCAATCGACAAAGCTGACCTACAAAAGCCACTTCAGAATTGTCCCACCATTTCTGCAAACGCTTACCCGAGATCATTTTACAATGAGCTAAGTCCTGCAACCCTTGTAACATCACTTCCTGCCCTTCCCAGTCAAAGAATAACCGCAATTCTATGAAATCAAACTTAACAGGGCTAATTGTTTTGAGCCAATCCAACCCCAACACAACATCATTCGAACCCAAACTCAGAATTCTCATATCAAATTGGAACTTCCTGCCCTGCATTTCCCAGCAAAACCCTTTGCAAACCAAGTGACTGATAAGCACAGTTCCATCAGCAAGCTTAACTCGAAGTGGATGATTGGCTGGAACTAACTGACAGTGAAGAGATTGAGCCTTCCTTTCACTGAGGAACGTATGAGTACTTCCTGTGTCCACTAAGACGAAAATCTTCTCGTGCTTAACCCTGCCTTGGACAACCAGCGAGTTTGCAACCCCTCCACTATTAATGGCCTGCATTGAGACCTCCTCTAGTTCATGCTGTCCCGACTCCAAGCTGTGCTCCATCACCTCCTCTTCCTCAGATGCCATCCACTCTTCACTGTGTAACTCCCCTTCATCAGCCTGCAATACATTCAACTGCTTCTTCGCACCACAAACATGTCCAAAGAAATACCTATCCCCACACTTATAGCAGACTCCCCTTGTCCCATTATTCTTCGAGTTTACCATGGGAGAATTAGCCCCACCAGCAGGTCTTACACCAGAACCTTCCCAACGACGAGGCTGTGGAACTGTAGTACTACTGGGAGCCACCAAGGTACGGTTGGGATTCCCGTGGTTAACCCTCCATTTCTTCTGATGAGCAGCGTTAGTCTCCTCTTGTAATTGAGCCAACTGAAACGCATCAGCTAGGGATTGAGGATTCCACATCAGTAACACAGGCCGCAATTCCTCCGCTAAACCACTGATAAAACTGCTTATGAAGTATATTTCATCCAAAGCTGGATTGAAACGAGCCATGAGAGAGCGTAATTCCTCGAACTTCTCTTGATAATCCGCCAAGGAACCCTGCTGCCTCAGTTTGTTGAATTCAGCTACCACTCCTCCATAAGTGCGATTACCAAACCTTTGACACAACGCAGCCACAAAGTCTTCCCATACCAATTCGCGTCGACCAATCTTCCACCCTTCGAACCACAAATCGGCACGTCGCTGAAAATAGATCACCGCCAGATTCACCTTTTGATCGGCTGGAATTCCATAAATGTCGAACAACTTCTCGCACTTCCGCGACCACTCACGAGGATCGTCACCGTTGAAAAACGGAAAATCAAGGCGGGGCAGCTGATTAAACTGATGATTGCCGTGGCCTGGAACTGGATTACCCTGAATTGGTGCCCTTTCGGCCACTGGATTGACCTGAGCTTGAACCCTAGACATCTGTAACAACACAGGATCAGCTCCCCTGAGAACGGTGGTAGGTAAGGGAAGTATGCCTCGGTCGCCATTCCGATCTACCGGCGGAATCACCGCACCGGCAACGGCTCCCGCTGGCCTGGGATTAACCACCACCTGTAACAGATTGCGAATCTCCTGAGTGAATTGACCAAAACGATCGTCGAATCGAGCTTCCAAGATGTCCAGTCGAGTTGTCAAAGTAACAAATTGTTGTGAATGGCCCTCCGAACGAGTACGAATCTCCTGTAACTGAGTCGCCTGAGAATCCACCATAGCCTGAACATGGCCGATTTTGTCGTCGAGAGCCCCTTGCGCCTGATTCGTTGACGCCATTAAACTGGTAAGGCGCTCGTCAATAGAACCTCGAGTCGCCGCCATTGTGCCAAGGAATGGCTCTGATACCACCTTGTCACACCCTAGGGATCTGGATTCGCTTGGCAATGGAGAATTGAGAAGGAGATGAGAGGATTGGGACGAGATCAGAGGAAGAAGACGGAAGAGTAGAGAGAATAGAGAGAGAAGAGAGAGAAGGGAAAGTAGATTTGTTGTTATTAGCCAAAAAGTAGTTACAACGGTCTTGGCGCCCCCCTATTATACAACTTGACTAATTTCCTGTTCACTCTCTTACTTCCAACTATTTACACTTTAGCCCCATTCGTTACACTCCACCAGGCAGGAAGCCGCTTTCTTCCTCGAGAGCCACCAATGGGATCTCGACGCCGCCGTTTCCACCTTCCTCGACAACGATAACGCCGCTGTCGCTGTTGCCCCTTCTTCTGCTGTACCTGCTGCTCCTCCGACTGGCGGTGGTGGCGGGGGCACTCCTTCTCCGACTGATTCGCCGGACGAATCGATGTCTCCTAACTATTCCCCCTCTCAGTCTCCTGCTAGGTCTAGGTCACGATCCCGCTCCCTGTCCCCTGCTCCCGCCACTATGTCTAGGTTGCCTTACCAGCTGAGGCAGAGAGGGGAGAAGAAGAATAAGAAGACTGGTACGGCCGGTGCTAGTGGGAGTGGGAATCGTGGTGGAATAAGGACTTTGGCTGATCTCAATCGGATCCCTGGCGGTTCTGATAGCGATGACGACGACGACGAGCCGCAGGAGTATTACACCGGCGGCGAGAAGAGGTAAAAGAAAAGAAACCAATTAGTGCCCTAGCTAAGTGTCAGAAAAGTTTGAAATTTGGCTTCAATGTCGATACTATGGAGGCAACTTTTTTGGATTTCAGCCGTTTATTGAGCAATTCTTGAACTCTTAGCCATGAATGGTGTGCTTGTTTGCTGCTGATTCCAGTACTGATGAATGATTGGTTTTTGGCTGATTAAATGGTATGCTATGTTCTTTTGTGAATGAAATTTATGATTCTTCATTTATATTTTATTATCTTGACAGTAAGTTGCACAAAGTGTGATTGTATCCCCTTTTTTCTACGGCAGACACACTCTTTACTTGATTGAATACTAAAGCCAGCTTTTATGCTCTGGGTTTAGGAGTCTTGTCTCATTAAGGACTAATTGTTCCTGGAGCGTGGTGTTACCAGGTTATGTTTGTCTTGCAGTTATAAATAATGATTGATCTTATTTAATGGATAAATTCTTTTAAGGTTGATGATGGTATTATTGTCAGCACATGTCCCCTGAATATTAATCTATGTCATTCTTCGTTGTTGCATGCTCATGTCTTTGTGGGAGATGCACCTAAATATTCTACTGTCATCGTCTTTTGGTTTCTAGCATGAGTGCTGATTGTTTGCGTGTGGTTGATCATTATTGTCCTTGAAAAATCATCTGTAATTGCTCGTCTTTCTGTTCGTATTTACTTCTCAATAACCTTTTGCTGCAGCTTCTCAAAGTCGCTATATCTTTGTGCTTGCAGTTCTTTTCTTTTACATTTAGAAAAAAACTTATCCGATGAAGAGGTCGAGAGTCTTTCCAAAAAGAAATGGAAGTACAGATGGGAAGTGCCTTCTCTTGACTTGTCAAATTGCAAGTGGGTGGGGACAGGAGATTGTTGCCTAAAGGTACGCCCAATGTTGACTGTTCATTTACCTCTTTCATTTGAATTATTCGCCTAGGTTTCATTAAGCTAGGTCTACGCTTCTCCAATTTCTTTATTCATCCATGTTTCTGTTAGCTAAGACTATGGTGATTAAAAGTGACGATGGTAATTATTGTAAAGAAATCATGTACTCACATAATTCATTGATTCCTAATTTCCTCAATGAAGAGCAAAGAGGTGCATCTATGCAACTTAGTAGTTGATATGATAGTAAGTGCAAACTCATTTTCCTAGGTCAAAGGTCAGGACATATGTATTTTCATCTGAGAATTAATTCTAGGACAAAGTCAGGTTCCTCGTTACAATGTTCTAAGTATGAAAGAACAGCCAATATGAATGGGGTTACCAGTCGCATACCACACAATGGATACCCGGACTATACATGTAAACACCTTTACTCTTAACTGTAATGCCATAGTACTAGATTATGGCTTGAAGATTTGCAATCTACTTGCTACATATCATACATATTGTCATCTGAGAATTAATACTAGGTCCTCGATACCATGTTCTAAGTACGAAAGAACAACCAATATGTATAGGATTACCAGTCGTATACCACACAATGATACCCGGACTATACGAGAAAACACCTATACTCGTAACTGTAATTCCAAAGTACTAGACTATGGCTTGAAGATTTGGAATCTACTTGCTATATATAATGTTGAATCTTCTCGAAAAACAATTTTTTTTTACTGTGAGATTCAATTGTAACATATTGAATCATTTAGACACAGGATATGCTGGACAGTTCTACTAGGGATGTCAAACAAAGTTTGTATAAGCATTGGTTGGAAGTGTGCAAGCTGTATGGAGGCAGAGATTTTCCAGTGTCTAAGCATGGTTCTTTCTTCAACATCTGTAAGTTGTTTTATTCCCTGTAGAACTATGTTTATTGTTCAGTATCCTTGTCTCGTATGGAGGCAGAGATTTTCCAGTGTCTAAGCATGGTTCTTTCTTCAACATCTGTAAGTTGTTTTATTCCCTGTAGAACTATGTTTATTGTTCAGTATCCTTGTCTCGATTTTGTAATTGCATATGAAGAACTCTCTTGATCAACTGTAACGAATAGGATAAAGCCACCATTACAATTTCAGGTTATATGAAAACCTTGTTGAATGAAACATGTTGATATTATCATTTGATGTCTTATCAGCAAAATCTTCGGCATTTCGGGCTCTCTAGTTAATCACTATTGTGCGCTCATGAAACATGTAATACCTAATATTTAAACCTAATTTCTTGAAAGAATGTAGTCATGTTAAATTTGGGGAAACACTAGACTTCACCTTGATTTCTTCTATGGTGTGAAGAAGCATACTTAATGAATTCCATGATGTAGCAGATCGAAGTACTTAAATTACTGATACTAAAAAGGCCCTTAAATTAAGCCTAGCATGTCTTGATGCTTTCATGTGCTCTTTTGGTCTAGAGGAATGAGATTTCTATCACTTGACTAATCTTTGTGAACTAATTCCATTTTTATATTTCCTGAGCAGAACCAGTGTTTGGATAGTCCTTGTGAGAGTTTTGTTCCTCCTGCTTTCTTTGTTGTAGTATTGCCTTGCCTTTTCGTTACTACTGTACTTGTTTGGAATGCAGTTTGACATACTGTGTTCTTTGTATCTGTGCAGCAGTCTATAGTTGATGTTCTTTGTTTGTTTCTGCAGTCAATAGCTACAGGGATGTGTTGCATTGTAACAAGAAACCTTTCTATCTCAAAGGTCACGGAGAAGATTCTAACATTATGGACGCGTACCTCATGCATTCTGTGAGCTTGCATCTCCTTTTCTTTTGTTCTGTAGTGGTGTTCTTGGAACTGTATATCCATAATCTCAATCTGGTAATATTATGTTGCAGTTGAATCACATTTTCAGAAGTATAGATCTTGTGAAAAAGAATGATACGAAAGTTGCCAAGCTTCAAGAAACTGCTGAAAGTGAGTTGCTTATTGATGATGTTGTTCGTGATCGTGGATTCACTCGGCCAAAGGTAATTTGGATTTTTGCTTTTAGTTTGACTTCTAAGCTGGCTGCACCTTGGAAGTGGCAATTAATGATGCACCAAATTAGGCATTATTGCTTACGGGAAATTGCACTACCTTGTAGCTGCAAGCTTCAGAATGATAATATCTTTCAGTTGATAAAAAATATCTTGCTTCATTGCTTGTAAAAAATGTGGCTACTGACCTTTCAGTGCTGCTTAGAGTACTGCTCTCCTCGTATCTCTTAAACAATTAATTGCTTACAGAAAATTGCACTACCTTGTACCTGCAAGATTCAGAATGATAATATCTGTCAGTTGATCAGTTGATAAAGAATATCTTGCTTCATTGCTTGTAAAATGTGGCTACTGACATTTCAGTGCTGCTTAGAGTACTGCTCTCCTCGTATATCTTAAACATCTAATAGAAGTATTCACTAGCCCTCCTTCCTGCCCATGCATATGTACATGTCCCACTCTTATTTTCTTGTTTCACCAAGTTCCCTGATCCAGACAAAGGGAAGTTCGTTACCAAATAACGTGGGTGCTTATTTTTACTTAACAATAAGTTAATGATAAGTTAACCCGAATGAGCCAACTTATGAGATAAGTTGGGGTAATGAGTGGGTGACATTCTGTTTTATAGTTTTCTCTCACCGGTAGTGAAAGACAATCTTTCTCACCTTTATTTTTGAACCACTCAGGTTAGTGGTGTTTTATTAACTACTACCAAAATGTCTTACTCTATCATCTAAACAAAATGTTTAATCATCCAGATTCGAAATGGGGTTACACACACTATTACAACTTAAAAGTAACTGTAAAACATAACAAAGAGCCCTAGTGTTGCCTTTTATTGCATTTAAGTGTTGAATTAGAAGTGCTACAAGACCCTCTTGAACTAATGTTTTCCCCAGTCATTGGAAGTTAGCGGCTTAGCGCACTTGCTTATTTTTGTCTCAAATGGCTATATCAGGTTTTGATCTTGTTGCCAATTAGACACATTGCACTTCGTGTTGTGAAGAGGCTGATTCAATTGACTCCTCAAGCTTCAAAGGTAAATTGTCCAGTATTTTCTTCGTTCATAAGTAATTTTGCATTTGTACCCATCATTTTCTTCTATGCTTGACATGTGGAAGGAATGGTGACGGTAGGTGTACCCATTATTTTCGCACAACTCTTCCAAGAAAATTATTCTGTAGTATGTTTCATCAGTCATTCTGAAGGCATACCTATGAAGCAGAGACAATTTTCTTACTGATAGATATTTCATTTCTATCCTGTTGTGTTGGATATAGTTTTCTTAGGCTAGTTAGACGGTTTCATGCAGGTAAATGTGGAGTTCATGGATCGATTCCTTGAAGAGTTTGGATATCAAGAAGATGAAGCCGATCTGGACAATGAAGAATTGAAACTCAAAATTGGAAATTCAAAATCTCAGAAGATTTCTAAGCCATCTGACTATGAAGCACTTTTTGGTGGAAATTCTGACGATGATTTTATGATTGGAATTAAGTTTACTAGGTAAACCATTTAATTTGGTGGGATGTAGCTTTACAGGAATTTCGCTGTTAACTTCATTGCTTTTCTTCAGTCTTGACATGCAGGATAACCTTTGTTGGTGAATCTGAGCTACTCTTTGTGGCTTTTCTTCTCTTCTGCATTCTCTTAAGTGCATGTGGCTTCCATCTTCTTGAATTTCTTTCTCAATCCTTTTGTGTCTTATGCAGGAAAAGCATAAGGTTATATAGTGACTTTTATTCATCGGACATGATTGTTGCTTCTCCACTTGCGTTGCGGGAGGTATCGTTTTATGCGTCCTTGGAAATTTTTTACATTTTACTTTATGTCGAGCTTCTCATTAATATTCCGGATAATCACGATCTTGAAGACGTGGTGAAATCTGTTAGTTTAGTAGTTGAACCATTCCACAAAAGATTTAGTAGTTTATCCCAGAATAAGGTAAATTCCCATTTGATATGCTTAAGCTTGAGAAGTTTTTATCAACTCTTATGCTGTAAAATGCTACTACTGTTTTATTTTTATTTTTTAATTTTTTTTTAATTTGGACTTCTCACTACCTGGATATTTGAAGCATGTATACCTTTATATGCTTAATCCAAAAGTTTTTTACTTTAATTGAAAAGTCAGGGTTCTATGATATACAGCAGTTCTGCATTCTGGTTACTTCTGAAAGTGTTTGTTTCCATAGAGATCCAACTTCATCAATTCTAGTGTGGCAGAAGATGTGCACAACCCAAAACCTTGCAGGCTTTAGCTATGCATTTCTGTGACATGGATATAGACTTTGGTAGCTCAGATACACCAAATTAAATTCATTGATTTCTTTGTAATAGCCTTTAATTGTCCTTTGGGTCATTGGGAGCCGTAACTTAAGGTTGGAAGGGATACCAAAAGGCTTAAAGTAAAGGAGCTTTTGGCTGCAATTAGATTGCAAAGTACTTGTTGCAGGAAGTCCTGCATTAAACTTCGTAGAACTTCACATTTTTGTGGTCGAAAGGACTCTACATTTGTTGGTATATGTCAGGGAATTACTCTTTATTTTATGGTTTTTACCATTACATTTTGTGGTTTTTATTTGATTTCTGACATGTTTGTCTTTCCAGAAAATTGACAAAGTTTGGGCCAAAAAGGAAGAGGATTTTGATTATCTTTCTTCTATTGAGGTATTTACTCTTTGCTATCTCTTTTTTCTCATTTGTCGGCACATGCCTTTGAATATCATTACTATTTGTTCCTACTATATTCTTTTTGCTAGATACTAAATGGGAGGAACGTTGTTTCACTGTAAAATGAGCAGGTCACCATAGTTGATCATGCTGATGTAATAGCAATGCAAGTAGGTGCTTCGAACCCATTGTTTGTCTTGAATTTGTATGCTTATTCACATTCGATAATTTGACCCTCTCCCCTCCCCCTCCCATGCTGCCCCCCTCCTACGCTAATGCATGTTGATTGGAACTATTTAGAACTGGGAGCATCTTGCTGTAGTTCTTGAACAATCCAACCGCATGCCCTCCAAGCAACACGGGACTGACATCATGCGCATTAGAAAATGGTTTGTGAGTTGGTCGTTTCATGTTCTTTTTTCTATTTATATCATGTGCCTTATCTCTTTTTCTGTATAGGCACCTGGATGGGCATGCCAGATTTTACCGTCAAACAATTGTATTAGGTCATTATGTAAACCCAGGTATACATTTCTAAGACATTGGTATGCATGTCTTGCAATCAACTATTAACTTTTTTTGGGGTGGAAAATCAATTATAAGCTCAACTAGGACAAATGTTATTGCTAAATTTGATTCTGTATGCACTTCCATTTTTTAGGTAATTGGAAATATGATATATAGTTTATATATTGTCTTGCTAAGATTGGTCTCTGAAATCTTGATACCACTGTGGATCGATTGAAATGACCAAGAACTGGTATATAGCTTTTTTTTTTTTTTTTTTTACAATGAATTGGTATATACCTGTTGAGTCTGTTTCTACGACCCTGTTCAGCCTACTTAAGTTGTAACTATGACTACATCTTGTAACAACAATGGGATGACAGTCCGGGTTCTCGTTTGGATGCTTACATTCTGACCAATGTGTGTAGTTCTTGTCAGTTTTGGCCTGTTTGAAAGGAAAACTGGCATGAGCACATAGCACCACTCAGTCTAATGCAATGATGACCGCCACACTATAGCTAATCCATGTTTTTATTTGCTTTCTTCAGATATCAATTCTTCATTCAATAATTGGTGTGTTAACTACCAAGGAAAGGTGAGTTGTCTTTTTTATTTTAACAAGTGTGATATATGTTTGTAGTGTTTCCTAAGAGATTTGAACCTGGGACAACCAGGTTCAAGACCAGTGGTATTACCACAGGACCAAGTCCTTGTTTGTTTTCTCTTACTTGCTTTGTGGAAAGCATCATGCATTATGATGCACGTCAAGACCTGCCGAGATGAATATCAACATCCCTTCAGGTTTTTTGAGTTATTGTATATTGGAAGTCGGTTAAAAGTGTTATGATTAAGGACTGAGGTCACTTTTAGGTTGGATTGATGAATTTAATAGTTGGTTTACCTTTCTATCTATCTTGCGGAGCTCCATGGCTTCTTACGAAGAACTGTGAATCTCCGTAGGATCTTGGGTCTCTTAGTTTTGAGTAACTCAATCCTTTTTGTTGAAGTGAACTTGTCGTCTATAGATGGCTTCACCATTGGTGCAAGGTGAAAAGGTTCGACAAAAGAGCGAAATGCCAAAAATGCGAAGGACCTAAAACAATCGATTGATGAGCATAGTTATTTTAGGGTTCCATAATGTATTTGTTTTCCTAAGATGTTGAGTTTCAGCCATATTTGAAAAGCTCAGTCCAAATACCATATCAGCCTGCTTAAATTTGTACAGAGTCCAATATGTGAGCAAATGATGTTAAGAAATAGTAACCAAAATCGCAGAGAATGGGTTGTGAATCTTAAGGGCTTTGCTGATGATGTTGCTGCTGTGTGATTCTTTGGAGTTCTTTTCATTTTTCTGTAATGTCTCTCAAACAGTTGCCAATTATCCTGCTATCAGATCAAGTCGGTATGTGAGACTCATAAAGGTGTTCTTCGTAAAGTCCCACCAGACCTAAGACAGGTATGCTGTTTGCTTTTTTTTCGCAAATTGTTTATTGGTTATTATGGAATACATCTGAGTTCTTTTTATCTATGATATCCTTGGTGTTTATTTTAGTCAATTGACACTGCTTGATGGTTACTGAAGAAGTACTATTCTGTATCAACCATTAGTTAAATTGAACAAAACAAAAAAATGCTTAATGTATCTGGAATGGATTCTAACATGACATTTCAGTTTATGAATTACTTATTCCCAAATGTGGTATCTCCATGTTATCGCTACCAATGTAATCAAAACCGCGCTTTAAAAGCCTACGCTTTTACGATTCTAGGTCATCAAACGCTTTTACGTAGAATTGAGCTTTTCCTAACTAATGTGGTCCAAATTGCGGTTTAAAGCTTAAAAGCTTACTCTTGTAGGTCACCAAAACGGTTTTATGTAGAATTATGCTTTTGACTGCATTGGTTGCTACATTGATGTTGTAGTTGAACTTGTTACATTAGCTTATACTGTCACAAAGTTGTTGCTGATGTACTTATTCCCAGATGTGGTGTCACCATGTTGTTTCGTCATTGATGTAGTCAAACTTGTTACATTAGCTCATGGAAACTCGTCTTTTGGTGGCATTTTCTTTTACTTCCCGACAATGTCGTTGCTGTGATGCCTGATGAGTTTCAATACATGGTTTCCATTCTTGTACAGATCTACGAGCGATTTGACGTGGGCTCAATTGCAGATATCGATGATATACGCCTTGCTCATTTCATTAATAAGGTTAGCTCTGAAAAGACTTAAACGATCTCTGTTGTAGAAGTATCTTACCGGGGGGAAAGGAAACATGGAAACTAACCATTTGTTACTCCAATAAAATTGTTGTTGCTTAGGGGTCCCGGAGAGATCCCTGCTGCTTAGAAATGAGTTAACATTTTTCTATGTTATTATTATTTTGCTTTTGTAACTGTGGGTTTTGGAGTTAATTTGGACACATTCTTTCATCGTCGAGACTATGAACATGTGTGGCTTTCAGAATGAGTGTCATTGGTTAAGTATAAACTTGTGCTGACAGAAGTAGAATTGATCATCGATGTTGATTTGATGATCATTTTCCTTGCAGGTTTTCCCGAAGATCAAAGATTCTGAAGAGGTAATATTTTTGCTCTTCAAGGCAGATGTGGTGAGTGAGGAAAAAAATAAAAAAGCATTGTGATGGTGGTCTTGTGAAATATTGTGCAGGGAGGAATCATGATATTTATCAGTTCTTATTTCGAGTTTGTTAGAGTTCGTAACTTCCTGAAGTCTCAAAACGCATCATTTTGCCTGCTTGGAGAGTAAGGATCATTCATTTGTCTATTGATCCTGGGATTATTCCGAGTGAAGCTTGTAATATAAACTAAGCATCTATTGTCCCTTTCACTGATTCATTTCAACCGTGGATTGTGTTGCAGCAACACTAAACCTAAAGATGTGTCACGTGCGCGGAATTGGTTCATCCAGGGGAAGCATAAAATCATGCTCTACACTGAAAGGCTTCTTTTCTTCCGCAGATACAAGGTTGGTTTGGCCCTTGCCTCGCCTCCCCTACCCTCACGCTTCATCTCTTGCTGTGGTTTAGATGGCTACCAAACATGAATCATAATATTTGCTGGTGTGGTATGTTTCCTGATGACCAGATTCGTGGTGTGCGAGACTTGATCATCTATTCACTTCCCGAAAGGAAAGAGTTATATCCTGAGGTTAGCATTTTGAGAAAAGAAAATTTAAGTTGTTTGAAGAGATGATTGTTACATACAACATTCGCTATTACTCTTGCTATGTCAGCATTTGCAGAGGAGAAATATTCATTGTGTGTATGTTTGTCTTTCCTGTCTGAAATTTTTTGTTCATTTTTTGGGGTGGTGGGTTGGTTTTTGCTATTCTTGTGCAGGTTGTTAACATGCTTGAAGGGGCCAACAACAGCAACATGTCATGCACTGCACTCTTTTCCAAGTTGGATTGGTTGCGGGTAAGTAGTAGTGCTTACCAATAGTGAATGATTAATCTGGGATGGCAAAGCAGAGGTGCCTTTTTCATTGTTAACATGAGGGGGTTGAGAAACTAATCCCTTGTGCTTTTGTTTTGGTAAATAATAATAATGCCCCTGTTGCTTTCTTAGCTGGAGAGAATCGTAGGGACTGCTTCTGCAAAAAGGATGGTAACGTCAGACAAGCCGGTGTTCGTGTTATGTTGAGATGAGAGTAGAGTGCATTTAGTGGGTAAGTTTATGGAGCAAAAAACTTCATTATCAGGAATCAGGCGAGTCCACTAGATGCAGATAGAGAGCCATGGAATCTGCTTGGATGGTCAAGGTTCCTTATTTTGCTTCAATTGAGCAACCAAAATTTTGATTCGATTCGATTTCGTATAAATTATTGGCCGGTGGTTTGTTTTTGTGGTTGCATTTGCATGGTGCTAATAGTTAAGAATCTCTCTCTTACTCGGTGTAGTATATTGTCGTGGTTGGCTATGTTTGTCTGACGGCTAAATTGGGTTACTAGAATTACTAAAACAATTTACTGTTTTTCACTAAAATTGGGTTAATAATATTTTGTGTATCCTTCTACTATTGTATATTTACAACCGTACCTCTCTACAAAATTTGTGTACAAACATAAACTCTTTTAATATTAAAACGGGCTAAATTACACGTTTGGTCTTTAGTCACTCGAATTGCATAAATCTTTCATGTTTGTCACCCAAATTACTTTTCTTTCATATTAACAACTCACTTTACAATTTGTTTCACCGTTGGTCACCCTCCGTCAGATTCCGTAAGCGCAGTAAGATTTTTGATGACGTGGCAAACATAAGTGCTGACTGGGCTGACAGAGAGGCTGAGTTTGATTGCCTAGTCAGCCACACTACCCGACCCAGTGAAAAAAGGCCCGTTTTTGCAATTCATTTTAATTTAATTTTACTTTATTTTTTTGTACAATTTAACTTTACTTTTTGGGGTTAATTGCAAGTTTGGTCACTAAGGCCTTGTTTAGTATAGTTTTTAACTAGTTGTGTTTTATCAAGGTTTTGCCAACAGAAAAGCAACAACAACTCCAACACAACTGAAATCAACAACGCGTTCATCTCACAAAATTGACAAATTATGAAACACAAAAAAATCAAAAGAAAAACATGTTTACTTCTGCTGTTTTCGTTGATTTGAAGAGTTAAAAAAATTAAGATCTTGAAATCTTGTTCGTCCTCTGCTGCTTCTGTTCTTGGCAAAAAACAAGCAAATGTAAGTGGCGGCCGTCCTCGGCTATTCCTATTCATGAGGTGAACTTGTCGATCCGGAATGGGGAATCTGCCGCCCGACCTTGAAGCTGAAGAAGCCGCTTCTACTGCCCCACAGGCCCCTGAAATGAAGTCGTCTGGATTTCCCCTGTCTCACCAATCACCATTGCAGCAAAGAGAGAAAAAGAAGGGGATTAGGAGTGGGATCTGAATTAGAAAGAAAAAGGAAGGGGATTTTGACTGGGATCTGAATTGGAAAGAAAAAGACGGGGATTTTAGGATCCTACCGTCGGTGAATTCGAGTTTGGCGGCGGAAGGATGATAGAGGTCTAAAGCAGCGCCAGAATGATGAGAGAGAGTTGCAGAGGCGGCAAGTCAGATGATAGAGGGGAGGCCATAGGCGATGGGTCGTGAAATGGAGGAGAAGAAGAAGAAGAAGAAAGGGCGCCGCTGGGAAAGAGAAAGGTAAAAAAGCTTTTAATGAAAACCTATAAAAAAAACCGTGTGCAACAGATAGGGGAAACACATCCAAAGCAATCTTTTGTTGTTTCTTTAATTTTGGTTTGGTTGTGTAAATCTGTTTCATAACAAAAATTAAAAACTCAACTAAACATATTTTTTTTCTTGGTTTCTACAATTTTAAAAACCACAACAAAAAACAGAAACAAGCAACAATACTAAACGGGGCCTAAGTTTACAAAAAAACGTTCACGTTTAGTCACTAGAAATATTTAATTCCATTCGTGGTCACTAAAATCAGTTCAATAATTCAAGTTTGGTCACTCTCCGTCCAACTCCGTTAACTTTTGCTGATGTGGCAGTCAACTCTCATAGTTGACTGTTAAATGAGTGATGTGGCAATTAAAAAATAATTAAATTTAATCTTTACTATTTCCACCTCATTTGCACAATAAATTTAAATAAATAAAACAAAAAAAAATTATAATACCTAAATCATTACCGTCGCCCGATATATTCGTGGCAGCTGCCCCTCTCTCAGAACCCCACATCAACTTGGTAGCTCATATCTTCATTCTCATACTCAGGCTGAGGCACTTCATCAAACTTCTTAGCAAAAAAGTCAAAAGAGACAATTTAATTCTTCAAGCCCAGCATAGCCCTCTAAGGCAGCACCCAATGGAACGAGAACTCCATACCTCTCCTATATATGCAAAACCTAATGCAAGGGCTTATGCAAGAATCGGATACAGAGTGGGATCGCCGCAATTCCTCACCGATGTACACCGCCAGACGCGCTCCCTTCTTCCTTGCCTTCTTCTCCCCACCACCGCCGCATATTAACTACAGCTTCTTCAACATCGATAGAAAGCCTCCGCCGTTGCGACGTGAATCGAACGCCGCCTTTTTTTCTTCCTTGTCGACGTTCACCTACTCCTGCTCCTCCTCGCCGTTGCCGAGCAGTCGCAATTTTTTTGGCGGGAGGTGGACGGACTAAGCTCCGAGAAAGCCCCATCCAAAATCATCTTCCAGGAATTGCTCCTGTGATGAAATTTGCCATCCTCACCAGCTTATAATCATCGTCCACCGAATCGAACCCGAACCCATACAGAATGTACCCAGTTCGCAAGTGTGCCTTCCTGATGGTTCCATCTCTCTCTCTGCCTCTTGATCCATATATATTAAAACAAGCAGCGACATCAATTAAGCAGCTCTGAGCTCTCCCTTCTTCGTTCGCGAAACCAAGCACGGCGACAAGCGAGTTCCGGGCGCTGCCGACATCGAGATCCGTTCGTTGAGGGGCACCGGGCTTGTTGTTGTTGAGGGGCTTACCTTTGGAATGGAGCTTCGAAACTGAGGCGAGAGGGTTGGGGGTCGATTATGGGAGGAAGATCCGGATGGAGAAGAGAGGAGGTGAAGAGATCTATTGTCGGAAACCCGTCGACGTGCGGGAGAATAGAAGTTCTCTTTTATTTTACCTTATTTTTCAGGGTTTTTCTTTTTTTAATAATTGTGAAAATGAGGTGGAAATAATGAAAGATTAAATTTAATTATTTTTTAATTGCCACATCATTCATTTAACGGTCAACTATGAGAGTTGACTGCCACATCAGCAAAAGTTAACGGAGTTGGACGGAGAGTGACCAAACTTGAATTGTTGAACTGATTTTAGTGACCATGAATGGAATTAAATATTTCTAGTGACCAAACAAGAACGTTTTTTGTAAATCCAATGACCAAACTTGAAATTAACCCTTACTTTTTGTTAGACCAAGTAAAAAAGAAAGGGCAGTAGAAGGGGTTTGCTCATTCTTCTTGTTGATTCCCTTTCTTCACTGCTGGAGGCAGAATATGCCGGGGAAGACGACGATCGTACAGGGAAAGCGAGGATAAGGGTAGAGGAAAGAAGCGGTCCACTCGTGTCGATCGGGCAGGGGAGGTTGGCTTTGTCTTCCTTCCCTTTCTTCTCTGCTGGAGACGGTCAAACGGGTAGGAGAGGAGGCTGCGATCTGCAGGGAGGCGGAGGTAAGCACGACCGATCTTCTAACCTTCTCCATACTCTTCGTTCCTTCCTTCCTTTCACTCCTCTTCTTATCGAACTCATTTTGTTGGATGATCAGGGAAGATCGACAGAAACCCTAAAAACTATTGTGCTTTTATGTACCTTCTGTTTGGGTTTAGTTTCTGACAATTCCCCTAATTGTGCTTTCTTCAAATTCAAAACACTTTTCCGATCGACACGAGTGGACCGCTTCTTTCCTCTGCCCTTATCCTTGCTTTCCCTATACGATCGTCGTCTTCCCTAGCATCCTCCGCCTCCAGCAATGAAGAAAGGGAATCGACAAGAAGAATGAGCAGACCCCTTATTCTGCCCTTTCTTTTTCACTTGGGCTAACAAAAAGTAAAGTTAAATTGTACAAAAAAATAAAGTAAAACTAAATTAAAATGAACTGCAAAAACGGGCTGTTTTTCACTGGGTCGAGTAGTGTGGCTAACTAGGCAGTCAAACTCAATGTCAGCCCAGTCAGCACTTCCGTATGTCACGTCATCAAAATTCTGACGACGTTAACGGAGTCTGACGGAGGGTAACCAACGGTGAAACGAATTGTAAAGTGAGTGGTTAATATGAAAGAAAAGTAATTTGGGTGGCAAACGTGAAAGATTTATGTAATTCGAGCGACCAAACGTGTAATAGGCTTAGCCTATTAAAATGTAACGAATTTACCCTTCTGTCAAATTTAACGCTAAGTGGGCGTTAAAATGACTGAAAAATGACCCAATTGTACTTCCTTTACTCCTAATTTAGTTTTAATTATTTTTTTAATATTTATTTATGTTCCAAACAATTAATTAAATAAATCGCTAACTTATTTAGAAAAAATAAATTAGAAAAAATATGACAAATAGCCCGTACTTTTACTATTTGGCGCCCATAGTTAGAAAAAATATGACGAATTTTCCCTTCGCTAATTTAAACCCTAAACCTAATCTATCCCCAACCCAACTCTCTGCTCCCTCCCAAACATGGCCGCCGGCCACTTGTGAAGTCTCCGCCGCCGGCCACCAGAGACCACCTCCTCCGCCAGCCACCCCAGAGACCACCTCCTCCGCCGGCCACCTTCTCACTCCCTCCCTCCCAAAACCACAGTCGTTGTTCCCCTCCCCTCCCTCACCTCACGGTCGTAGAAGCTCGGTCCGCCGCCGGAGTTCGGACTGGGTCCGCTGTGGGAGGTCGGACGGGGTCCGTTGCCGGAGGTCGGACGGGGTCCGCTGCGGGAGTTCGGACGGGATCCGACGCCGACGAGGGTTCGACGCCGACGATCGGACGGGGTCCGACGCCGACGATCGGATGGGGTCCGACGCTGACGATCAGACGGTTGCCGTCGACGATTTTTTTTCTTAAAAAACCCATTTTTAATTATTTACAAATTAATTAAATTTTATATTAAATGATGATTTGTGATAATTGCTATTTATGTCGGCATTGATTTTGGAAGTTTTTTTTTTTAGGGATTGATTTTGGAAGTTCTAAACATGGTAATTGTTTTCCATTTTTTGGGCCGAAACATTGTAACTAATAAAATAAATTTATATAATGAAGGAATTAACGGATTACTAAATCAAATTAAATGTGGAGTAAGCGTGTGATTTAATTTACTTTTATTGATTCCTACTTCCTACCCCATTACCAACAGTAATTGTATTACATAATTAAAAACGGAAACACTTAATTATAAAATACCAAAATTTTCTCTAATTAAACAACGTCTAATTCTATTTCCCTAATTAACTATCTGTTTTTTTAACCAAAATAAAAAATTAATAATCGACAATTTCTCTTAATTAAAACACATTAAAACTCTAATGAATTTATTTAAAAAAGAAGAAGGAAAGCAACGTTTTATTCCAATTCGTTAATTAGTAGGATGAGCTAAAGGAAAGTAATTAATTAATAAAGAAAAAAAGTTTAATTCCATATAGATGTTTAGGTGGAAATTGGAATGATTATAGTAATTCAAGCAGTTTAATCTGCATTGAAATTTGTCATAAATAATAAATGTTAATTTTTATAGTAGTATTATGCAAAATTGTTTATTAAGTAGCTTAATAGGTGTTAGAATTTGTTAACAACGTCTAATAGTAGTTTAAAATTTAGTTTGTGTCAAATAATTTAAATCGAGGGAGCTTCAATCATCTTCCTAGGCCCATCACCATTCACCACTAGCAACAAGAGTAGATTTAACGAGATTAACGTTTGACTTTGACTAATTAGGGTTCTATTTTACTAAAATATGGTTTAATTAAGTTAAACCTATGATGATAATAACAAGAAGAATAATATACTCTACTAATCGGAACAACGATGACAAGAACAAAAGAGGAAAGCATATATTCCCCTTCTGCACATTCTACCCCCCTCGTACCCTAAACCCTAATTCCCACTAAAGACCTAACTTCAACCTCAACCCATCAAGTCCTACTACGACATGGTGTTAGAGGTAAAATCGTCTCTACCTCCACTAAAAACATTTGTTTGCATCATCGAAATACGCATGATAGACTCAAGAAATACCTTGTTACGATCCACAGAGCCCCCAAAAATCTCGATGAAAATTTTGGCACTATTCATCATTTTTTGTCTGGGACGTCCAATTGAGAAATGGTCAGTTCCACCGTGTTCGTATCCACATTTTAGAGGATCAACGAGGTTTTCAATAATTTTTAAGTCGATGACTCTAGTAAATGAGAAATTTGATAAATTCAAAACGTGACCATTTTAATTTGATTACATGACATATCCACACTTATAGGTAAATTATCAATATGATTACATGGTCATTTTAATATATAATATCATTTCACTCCTTAATTTTATGCCCTTAGCTTTGAACTTAGGGCTGTTAATTATTTTCCTCTTTTGATTTTTTTTATAATAATTGTTTTATATAATCATTCCTCGTTTGATTGCTACCAACGCAATTAGGGGAA